ATTCACACACACACACACACACACTTTTTTTCTCTCTTTCTCTCTCTCTTACACACACACACACACACACACACTTTTTCTCTCTCTTTCTCTCTCTCTTACACACACACACACACACACACACACACACACACACACACACATACAAACATACATGCACACATAAAACCAATTCACATAAAAACGCCTACACCTACACACATATGGACAAACATATAAAATATACAGACACCTTAAAATATTTGATGGAAAATAACTGTCAGTGAAAAATTATTTACACATAAAACATTAGTTTTGTTTTGAACAAAAAAATTTAAACAGAAACTGTTTTTTAGAAAATGAAAAATTAAAACAATGGAGAAGCAAGAAAAACTAATCCATAGGGATGAACAAACATTTTGTAGAACAAAACTTTACAGAACACCAAACCACAAAACACTACACACACACCAACACAACAAAAAACAACACAATACAACACAGTACACCACAGTATAACACAATAAAACATTTTGACAAGTAGGCTAATATAAAACAACTTTGGGGGTAAATATTTTTAAAATCAACAATTTTTTTGTTAAAAATGTAGGCGTTGAGGAATATTTTAATCGTCTTTTGTTGTCCGTGAAAAGATTAACAAACAAAAAAACTGTTAACCAATAATTTTTAACAACATTTTTTTTTAATGTGTAGATTTTTCACATTTTATAGTGGGTGTTCACAAATCTGGCACTCCTCCTTCAAAGACAATACAATACAACACGTTATGATACAATACAATACAACAGGTTACGATACAATACAATACAATACAATACAATACAATACAATACAATACAATACAGTACAATACAATACAATACAATACAACACAATACAATACAATACAATACAATACAATGCAATACAATACAATATAATACAACACGTTACGAGATAATACAATACATTACACTACATTACAATACAATACAATAAATCGACCTTGCAGAAAACAGCAGAAGAAGAATAAACTGCGTGCCACCTCCAGTAGAGTACATTCCAACACAGCATCACTTATACATCCTAAATGCCATGCCCAACATAATACAGTTAGACACTTTACATTGTATATATACATACACACACATGTGTATGTATATATACAATTTTGGGTTTAGACTATCATAAATACAATTATTTATAAAGATCACTGCGTTTTCGGCATTATTCAACTTGTGACACTTGTATTGTTATCTATAGATAACTCAACTACAAGTTGAATGATGCCGAAAACGCTGTGATCTTTTGCAAATAATTGTATATATATACAAAGTATACATCAGCCATCTTGTATATTTTCTTTTGTTTTAATCATGGTTTTGTATTCAGTGACAGTTCTAGAAGGGGTAGGGAAGTGTTGTGTTAAAAGTTAAAAAAGTCGGTGTCATGACTTAAAAAGTAGTATTTTTGAAGGAAAAATTGACCTTATAAGCCCATAAAAAGTTGTCAATTAGATTCAGGCCACATTACAGGAAAAGTTCAATTAAATTTAATTTAAATTTAATTTAAATTTTAATTAAATTTTATTTAATTTAATTTAAATATTTTCTAAACAACTTTGAAAAAATTCTCTTCCAGGTTATCAATAATTTTTATAAGAAAATTCACCTGGTCGTCAAATGTCTTTGTAGAAAATTTTGGCTCTTCGTCAAAGATGCCTAGATCTACCACTGATTACATTGTATTGTATTGAATTGTATCGTATTGTATTGTATTTTATTGTATGTTATCGTACTGAATTGTATTGTGTTATATTTTATAGCATTGTATTGAATTGCATTGTATTGTATTTTCATCGTATTGTATTGTGATAAAAACACAAATCTTGACTACATATAAAGATGTCATTTAAATACAGCACACATTGTATATTAAACAGGGCATGCAGCAAACCTATTCAAAAGATAAACATACAAAAAGAAGAAAAACAACAACAACAACAATAACAACAACACCAACAACAACAACAACGCAGTTCAACGTAAAGTTTAGTGGTTAAAGGCAAAAATACAGTACAACATAATACAATTAAATACCCGACCTACGTGGCATTAGTTTGTATAATAGAACAGATGTGAGGTACTCATTGGTACAACATGATAAATTTATGTGTAATAAAGTTATAAATATAGCAGTATTAGAGTTATAAATACAGCAGTACTACTAAGTAGGCCATGAAAAGCGTATAGAGCATCAACAGTACCAAATAGTACAACTCGTTAATTGTGTATCAATGTTTATCGCATAATTTCGATTATATGACTGGCTTAAAAGCTTGCTGGCGTTTGCTATTGAAATGTTTCGCTGATGCTTTCTGTTGTCGTTGTTGTGTGTGTGTGTGTCTTTGTCTTTGTGTGTGTTTGAGTGTATGTGTGTGTGTGTGTGTTTGAGTATGTTGTGTGTGTGTGAGTCTGTGTGTGTTTGAGTGTATGTGTGTGTGTGTTTGTGTGTGTATGTGTGTGTGTATGTGTGGTGCACGTGATCAGGTTTGTGGCAGGCAAACATGTGAGCAACCAGGCAAACATACATTAAAACAAGCAAACAAACAAGTACAAACCAATCAAACCAACTAGCAATCAAGCAAACTAACAAACGAACCAACAAACGAACCAACAAATGAACCAACAAACAAACGAACGAACAAGCGCCCAAACAAACAAGCGAACAAACAAACAAGCAGACAAACAAACAAGCAGACAAACAGACAAACAGACAAGCAAACAAAGTGTTATAGGTGAAAGGTGGACCCATCTGAAGTGTGTGTGTGCATGTTTTAAATAGGAGTTGACAGAAGCATTGAAACCTTTAATAAATGACCTTATGATGAAAATACCCGCATCTATACATAAATACCCGGTAAGTTTATGTACTGCGTTGTAAGTTTATTTTACATACGCAGGTATAAACAAATAAGTAAACATACGATTTAATATTTCTATGTTTATACACGCATACAACCATAAACGTACATACATAAATATACGCATAAACATAAACATACGCATAAACATAAACATAAAGATAAACATAAACATACAAAACCAGACGACCGATCGAACGCCCGTGCAGCGTTACCGCCAGTGGCACAGCCAAAAATATGTTTTGAGGGGGGAGGGATAGAAGTTTGTAGCAACAAAAATGTTGTCCGCCTTGTTTTTTGCTTATTACGAAATTTTAAAAAAATTCCATTAAAATTGATTTGTTTTTTAAGAAATTTAACTAAATTTTTTATAAACTTATCTAAAGATTTCGTTTAATTAAGCCGTATCCCAAGAAAATTATTTTTTTATTGGTGGAAGCTTCGACTGCTAAGCTCACCTTGGCTCGCTTCTGCAGTGACGATGCATGGAAAGCTATGAAAAAATTTTACACAACACACTCACATACACACACGTACACACACGTAAACACAAATACACATACAAATACAAAAACATACACTCAAATATAACAAACATACATAAACATACACACATACATGAATAAACATACACACATACATGAATAAACATACACACATACATGCTAATATGGACGCAAAGACTCACTTACAGGCATAAATACTCATGCATATACATTTGCATAAACACAAACACACACACATGCACACACACACACACACACGCACACATACGCAAAGACTTTTGTTTAATAATGAAGCGAAAAGACACACCTGTCCTTGGGATCGAACCATGGTCAACAGCCAAGACGTGGAACTTCAGCTGTTTGATCTCTTCATGGTCCAGTGGAGCCACCGCTGTTATCAAACCACTGCGCTCTCCTATCGCTACGTACGTTGTTATTGGTATTGTGGCTGGCTGGTGGTGATAACGATTGTTGTTGTTGTTTTGTTGACGGTTGTGTTGTTGTGGTTGTTGAGAATGTTGACGAAGTTTGTTAGAAGGATCTCGATCGTCGGGGCTGCTGTAGATCTTGTTGAATTTGTTGATATTGTTGACGACGATGTTGTTGTTTTCGATGTAGTAGCTCAGACGTCCGTTGTCGCCATCGTCGTCGTCAGTGGCAAAGACCTGGAGGAGGGGTGTGTTCTGTGGGTTGTTCTCGGGCAGGTCGTGCTGGTAGGAGGTCTGCGAGAATCTTCGGAGGATTTTGTTGTTGATGTCATTGTGTTGTTGTTATAATGTTATTGTTATGTCGTTGTTCAACAACAACTGAACAGCAGTCATCCAATGTCGACATTTTCAATAGGAAAGATGATAAACACGCACATGAATGCACGCAAATCAATTCACACGTACATTCACCCACATAAAACATACGCTAATACAGACACGCATACGTACATACAAATTTGTTACAAGTTAAATTTGTCTTACAATTCTCCATTCAATGTTTTTCAATGACATCCTCAACAACACACATACGCGCCGATACACACGCACAAACAGACACAAACGCATACACGCACACACGCACGCACGCACGCAAACACATACACAAACACACGCAAGCACGCACAAACACAAAAACGTAGACATACACACACAAACACAAGAGCACTTACTTTGGAGTGTTATCATTGACATCGGCCACCTCAACGACGATGGTCACTTCGGCACTAAGTTGGATGGTCCTGCCGCCATCCAGGCACTCCACATGCACCAGGTGTCTCGATTGTTCCTCCCGATCCAGCAACATTCCTGTCACTACCCTGTACTCCGCGTCTGTTTCACAATAAAGTCTACTATTATGTGGATGAACGACCAAACGAGACGGGACGAAAGGAGATAAAACGAAAACGAAACGAGAAAAAACGAAATGAGACATAACCAAATAAGTTGAGACTAAACGAAAATATTATGTTTTATTTTTTCTTGAAGTAACAAAAATTTGAAAAAAAACTTAGATGAAGTTTTTGTTTTTTTAAAAAAATTGTCTAAATCAAATCTGACGGTCAATACCACTAAGACCACTTCCCCAAAGATTATCGCTAAATTTGACGATTCAATAATTAGGAGAAGACGATTTAATTAAAAAGAGCGGCAAAGCAGTGTGGTGGTTGAAGCGTTTGCTGCTGGATAATCAGCGGCCGAATTCAGGATCAAATGATATCCGGGCTTATTAAAAAGTAGGTGATGATGAGTTTCAAAGTAGGCACACTGTTTTGCTGCTGTTGGTACGTTTGAAAAAATTAATTAGGAGACACAAGTGATGAGAATTCAAAGATGCAATTGATTTTAACTGTTTCAATGTTAAGAAGTCGGTAACGAAGTTTAAAAAAGTGTCCGATCATACACAGATGTGAAGCTATCACAGAAGTTATAGGATTACTAATTTGGCAGAAGTAGTATTAATAATAATGTTACTTCTAAGTGTAGGTCGCAATACAACCGCAGAAAAAAAGCTGTGAAAATAACCCTGAAAACAATGAAAATAATCGACCAAGACCAATCATTCAATCAGTTGGTCGGTCGATCGGTCAGCCAGCCAGCCAGTCAGCCAGCCAGCCAGTCAGTCAGCCAGCCAGCCAGCCAGCCAGCCAGCCAGTCAGCCAATCAATCAGACAGGGAGTTCCTGCAATTTATGTAGCTTCATTTCCGCAGCATTTAACGTTACTTTTCAACTTTTAACGAACACGCAAGGTGCAAAGATTTCAGTATAAAGAAGCATTCACTCTGGCGTGTGACAGGCGGGAATCTGTTTGTACTTGAAGCAGGTGACTGCGATAAAGAGGAGCGGACACTCTACCAAGTAGAAGATGTATTAAAATTACTTAAATGAATTTTTTTTTATTCCAAGTTTATTTGAAATTGCAACAACAATAATAATAATAATAAATACTAATAATAATTACTATGATACAAGTTTATTTGAAATTTTAATAACAAAAAGTACAATGATAAATATATGATCCCCGTTTTAATTATAGGAAAGGAAACAAAAATTTTTCTGTTGCATTGTTTAATTTTCATACTCCTTCGTGTTTGGTTAGTTTGTGAGGTGATTTTATTATCCATATAACAACAACAACAACAACAACAACGAGAATATTAATAATACCAAAAACAACAACAACAAAAATTATAATAATAATAATACCAAAACAACAACAACAACAAAAACGACGACAACAACAATAACAATAATAATAACAATAATAATGATACTGAAAACACAACCGGAAAGTCGAATGAGGTTGAATCCGTGATTATCGAGGTGGCAATTAGTTCGACCATTGTTTCCTGGATCGGCGTCCGTAACCAGAATCTGCGCAACAAATGTTCCGTTCACATCCTCTTCAGATATTTGGGTCACGTGATGCTGTTGTTGTTGATGATGATTGTTGTAAATGTTGTTGTTGTTGTAGATGTTGTTGTTGTAGATGTTGTTGTTGTAGATGTTGTTGTTGTTGTAGATGTTGTTGTTGTTGTGGATGTTGTTCTGTTGTTGTGGAGGCGTCAGGTGGTCGGTTGATGGGAGGGTGTTGATGGTGATGGTTGGCGGGTTGTCGTTCACGTCCTCAATCTGTTGTTTGGTGATTGGCTGGTTGAGTTTTGCTGATTGGTTGGTTTTTTGAGGGTTGGTGATTGGTTGGTTGGTTTGTTGAGCGTTGGCGATTGGTTGGTTGCTTTTCTTGAGTGTTGGAGATTGGTTGGTTGATTGGTTTGCTGAGTGTTGCTGATTGGTTAGTTGGTTGATGGGTTGGTTAGTAAATAAGTTGGTTGGCCAATTGGTTAGTTAACGTTATTGTTTTTTTTTGATTGGTTAATCGGATAATCTACATCATCAATCAAGACCACAAACTTCAGCATCGTCATTATAACAACCACCACCAACAACACCAACACAACCAACAACAACCACAACAGCGAACCTTAACGACCACAAGGACTTCAGACGAGTGTGGCTCAACTCCGCCATCTTGCGCAACAACGACCAACTTATACAATGACGTCACCTCAAAATCGACCTCACCAACCACAAATATTTCCCCAGTCAGGTTGTTTATGTTCATCGTTCTTCCGTAGTGTTTTTGCGTCTGCTCACTCAATCGGTAGTTCAACGCGGCGTTCTCGTCTGCGTCTCTGGTGGCGGGAATTTATTTAAAAGTGAAATTAATTCATACAAATTATAAATAATTGATACAAAAATGAATAAATTAATTCTACAAATAACGTGAATATATCATTCAAGTTACATTCATTGCAAGGTTAGCGAGTTAGGCGAGTTAGCTCAGTCGGTAGGAGTGCCACGTCTCGCGCTGTTATACGCGAGGGCCTGGTTCGAATGCAGTCTGTCCAAAACTGAAAGACTAGTGAAAAACTATCATACTCCATACGGGTGTGAGGCGGTGGGGCTTGCGCGCGTATACCCCAAGTTGGGGCGTGAGTAAAACAGTCATCGATGGTTTAACTTGTATGCATAGAATGACGTGTGAGCAGTTCTGCCTCTGTCCACAGGATGATGATTTTGAAGTTGAAATGAAAAAAATGTGGAAACTATCATTAGAAGTCATTAGAACACCAACAACATCGCAGTTCAACAATAAAACATCATGAAGCTCAGAAAAACTCAACAACAACAACAACAACAACAACATACAAAAACAGCAACATACAACTACATACAACTACAACAACAACAACAACATACAACAACAACATACAACAACAAAAACAACAGCAACAATAACAATGTTGAACAACAACAACACAGCAAACAACAACAACTAAAGTACAGACATGAAAAGTAGCATGAAGGATGAAGTCACGAAGAGCAACGTGGAAAAGTGCAACGTAAACAACAACAACCCTTCAGACAACGCCAATAACAGTTATAATAAATAACAACATAATAAAAACAAAATACCAATCCTCGAAATAATAAACATTAACAACAACAACATTAACAACAACAACAACATTAACAACAACAACATCAAAAACAACACAACCACAACAAAAAACAGCAACAACAACAACGACGAGACATAACCAAACAGGATCGTCTCACAATCAAGCAAGAAAAGCGGGCAGCCAATTACGACATCCAATGGAGCGTGCAAGCAGCCAAACATTAAGAACCATTCTCTTCATTCCTTTATTTTACATCCCATTCTTCTTTCCATTTTTTTATTTTATATATTCAGTCATTCGATCTGCCACGGATCGTTGGCTTCCTTTTCCGGTTTCATATTGCAGGCGCGCGTCTCTTCGAATGCCTTTTCTTCATTACTTTTTTTTTACCTACGTACATGCTAAAATTATCTTTTCAATATTTTTTCATTACTTTGCTTTATGAGGCCGTGTATCCATTGTGAGTTTTGGCAGATGGGCTTCGATAGATTTCAATGATTATGTTTCGTCAGTTACTATTGGTGAACAAACAAAATCTAAATAATTGACCATCACGGGCAATTAGTTAGCTACACAAAAATATGTCAACCACCTAACTATTGTTCTCAACCAACGGAGGAGGTTTTTCAATCAACAATCGCTCTTGATCCAATTAACTGTAATCATCTAGCCATCAGTGAACAAGTTTACAATTGATTCAATCTACCACAGTAAA